CTGTATGTGGGGGGCTGTATGTGGGGGGTTGTAGCAGCAAAGAGGTCAAAAACAAGGAAGTAAACTGTGCCATTTTTACCTGCAGTTATCAGGGGATTTGTAATTTAATTATGACTAACAAACTTTTAGCACTTCATGAAGACAGATCAGGTCAACCTCTGATTACGACTCTTAACTTTATTTATTTATGCAGCCAACAGTTCTCAGGAATGATCAAAAGTAAAAAAAATCAAGACATGATAAAATTAAATTTAAGACCTTGGGTGAAAATCTGGGTGTTTTTAAGACTTTTTTTAGGCCTAAAATATTGATTTTCAAATTTTAGACTTTTTAAGGCCTAGCATGAACCCTGTACAAGTCTGGGTATTTAAAGACAAATAATTGGTATTGTTGCCAATATCTTTTTTTATAAGATTTTACTTTGTGATAAATTTGCCCTAATAATAAATAGAAAGTCTAAATCAAACAGCTGTGCCGGGAGGACAAATTTGTAAACAAATTAGTATAATTCTTGAACTGAAGTCAGGGGCCACACAAAAACAGTTCAGGGTCCACAGATGGCCCCCGGGCCACACTTTGGACACCCCTGTGTTAAACTTTAATCTCTGATTGTTTCAAAGTTAATCTGAGGAGAGGGGCTCTGACCTGCGACCTGTGTGTGAACCCGCCCACCTGCTGCAGCCCTCCAGGTATCTGCTGACTCTGCAGCAGGTTGGCCGGCTTCACGTCGCCCCCTGCTGGCGGGGTCTGGACCTGCAGCTGCAGCTTGGCCTCTGGCTCCTGCTTCACCAGCAGCTCCTTCCTCAGCTGCTCCACCACCTTTTTCTGAAACAGAACAAAACACCTGACTTCATACTCTCTGACCGGCCCTTTCAAAATAAAGGTTTTATTTTCACACATCATCAGTTTTCTATCAGAATAAGATGATATTTCTGATGCAGGCAACAGTTAGAAGTGATTTTTTTTTACAGAGAACATTGTATTTTAAAAACAGTAAGGATGTTTTCAGATCATGAAGCCGTAACAAATCTCAACATTGTTTTTACAAGTTTAACCTCTTCAGTGCCAGAGGGGTTTCTCCATGTTTTTGCTCAAAATACCACGCTGAAATACTTTTACTTACCATTAAGTTTTCCTTTCAATGTTCCGATTTAATTGTGTTATTTTGTTGTTCATTGTCTGTGGACTGCAGTGCTCTTTTTAGTTTTATCTTATCTTGTCTGAAATATAACTGAGTGTATCTCAGCATTTACAAATTCTGCTTAAATAATCTAATCAAAATACAGCAACACTTGGGCGATTTCATCAGAAGTGTAAATATTAAAACAGTTGCTGTGGTTTTAGACATATTGAGGATGGAACAGAACTTTTTTTTATTTTTTTTCTCTCTCGCCTGAAGAGTTTTTGAATTAAACAGTATATAACCCATTTAAAACCATAATGAATCAGGCTAAAAACTCTTGGAAACCATAAATCCACTTGTGGACATCACCTGTACAAAGATTCATGCTGTTAAAATAAACTGGAGCAAAGTTACAGAGGTTTCAGTAAAGAAATAATTAGTTTTTTATCATTCTGCACAGGACAGACCATGATGGTTCCATTAAAAAATGTTAAGAAATCTGAAGTTTTTACTTCCAAAAGTTATTTTTTCTTATCTGCTTTAAAGTGGCTGTGACGTCAATTTTTTGTAACACATATTTGAAAAGATATCATTGATGAAATTCTGCAAAATAAATTTCATGTCGCTGAGATGAACAGTTGTTGAGATATTTGCCTGTAAAGTAACAGGAAGTGATGTCACAGGGGAATGTCTGCATGTGAACAGAGCGTTGTTAAAAAACAACACAGACTGTAAAGAATCTGATGTTTCTTTACATTATTTTGAGTCAGAGTTCAAATAATATTGTTCCATTAAACAAAGACCAGAGTTTTCTTTGTTAAAGAGTTCCCTCTGATGTCACTTCCTGTTTCACTTTAGCTGAGTCAAGATCAAAAGAAAATATGTCATTTATGGGACAAAATGGGTTAAATAATGTGTATTATACCAACTTTCTTAAATATAGATGTTTTCTTTGACTTTTTGTTTGAAGAACATGCATGTCACAGACACTTTAAGACACTTGTTATTGAAGGTTTGTTCTTTTGAAAAATTATCTAAACATTTATTTGTCACCATATATATTACATAAAATAATGAGAAATGGTTTCTGACTTCAGTTGGACCAGATTCAGTCAAAATCAAGTAAAAAAGGTTTTAAAAGTGTGTTTTTGTGACTTCCTACATGTTTCTGTCAAATCCAGAAGAAAACGGAGCTTTAATGAAAACTTCAAGCAGCTGAAAAGAGAACAGGTGTTCTCAGCTGAAGGTCCTCCTCAGAGGTGGAACATCAGGATCACAGTCCTCTCTGATTGGAGGATGGAACCAATCTGTTGCTAAGCAACACTCCACTCTCCAGCAGTCAGGATAAAACAATCAGGATATAAATAAAAACCCAGCAGGAAGCAGCATGTGGACCTGTGTGGAGGTGAGGACACTCAGAGACCTTCAGGGTCCAGCTGGTCTCTGCTGGACCTGATCAGACAAACTGAGGCTTCAGGACCGAAGCACAGCAGGAACACCTGAGTGTGTTTTCACCTGTCTCACCTGCAGCACAAACTCAGCTGAGCCGCAGATCTTCAGCTGCTCAGGAACATGAATCAGCTGAAGAACAAACAATGAAAGCTGCAGGGAGCTGATAAAAATAGAAAGTGTTTGGAAATAGAACAGAAACTAAAAACAAAGAGAAGCTTCTTCACTTCCTGTAAAACCTTTATTTTAATAAAAACAAACATCTGGAGCTTCAGGCTGAATTAAATCCACTGGCTTTAGTTTCTCACCTGGTCTCCATGTTTAATTATAAACTTGTATTTTTAATTTAAATTATCTGGATTCTGCAGTTATTTCAGTTTTTTTGTTGAATCTTTTCTTGAAGCTGTTTTAGTGAAAATAAAGAAGTTTGTACTTTGACTTTATTTATTTATTTATTTGTTTGAGCTGCAGGAACACATCCTGACTTTAAGGTTGGCATAAGTGATTATATGAGTAAATAAAGTTGGACAAATCTATACTTTTAAATGAACATGTTGTATTGTTTTATGCATGTTGAGCTTTCATGTTGACACCTTACGTTTTTTTATCTTTTTTACAGTTTTATTTATTTTAGATTTCAGCTCCACAGTTCCTTTATTGATTTTACATTTCACCAACTTTATTAGAGTTTTACTTTAGGTTTTATCTATACATTCAGTTGTTGTTGTTGTTGTTTACTCTGGTTGTTGTTGTAAATATCCAACCTGCTTCTCGCTGAGAGCTGTGATCTTCGCCTGCAGTTCGTGGAGCTGCTTCTTCAGATCTGCGTTCTGAAACAAGAGAACGGGTTCAGTCAGAGCAGAAACGGGTCAGAACGGTTCAGTTGGAGCAGAACCGGGTCAGAACGGTTCAGTTGGAGCAGAACCGGGTCAGAACGGTTCTGCTGCTGTGTGGAGACATCAGCTGGGTTTACCTGAGGATCCTGCTTCATCTGAGCCACGAGTTTCTGCAGGGACAAAAAAAAGACGAGGTCAGAGCGCCCCCTGCTGGTCAGAGAGGGAACTACAGCAGGACCTGAACGGTTCTGGAAGCAGAATCTCGACCCGTTTGTTCTGGGTTTTAGTCATTTATCAGTTTCTTACACTGTTTATAAATTAAAGGTTCATATTTTCAAAATAAAACCAAAATAACAGTTTTATTTTTAATTTACACAAATATTGGAAGAAAAATGACTGGTTTTGATTTGTTCCTGGTCCAAACTGAACAGAACCGGATCTGGTTTTAGTTCAGAGATTCTTTGTCAAACAAGCAAAAACAGTTTCCTCTCAGGTTCAGACGGAAACATCTGAAGAGAGAGCTTTATCTGAGACCACCATGCTTCAAAACACGAGGCCCGCGGACCTCCTGACCCACCTGATGGATCTGGATCTCCACCTTCAGAGCCTCCTGCAGGGTCTGTAGTTCCATCATGGATCCAGTCAGTCTGCCAGCCGATCGATCAGCCTGAACACACACACACACACACACACACACACAC